AAATTTGGTATTCATTTTGAGGATAACTTTGAGAATACAATTTAGGATCAATTTAGGACCAATTCTGTAAATCCGCCGATATGCAAAGCAAATTATATCCACATATGCGCAATGCTGAATAGATACTAAATGGCCAAAAAAAGTCTGAAATAATATATGAAATTTATAATAAATTTAAATAACTAGAATGATCTAGTCAAAAAGATAAATCTACCATGCAAAAATTTAACACACTCGTCAACTTTTATGATTAGCTCCTGTATTGTTACTCGCCTCACAATAAATGCACCCTACTTAACAATCGCATTTACAGTAATTGCATAATTTCTGGCCAGTTTCCGTTTTTATCTGTGAATTACTGTTATACAGTATGTGGAATTTCAGCACTAGCAATAGGAAAAGAACCTATATTACATAAACAGATATTACATTAAATTATATAATGACAATACTGAAATAATATAATGACGATACTGTAGTGTATATAATCACTCATACCATATATGTCAAGTTTGCTGTTTCTTTTTTTATATTGTTGCGCAATTTCACGTGTATTAATAAATTTACTCGCATATCGATATAAGGTATCAGAATATTCTTTCAAATTTACTGAAATCTCTGGGATTCTCGTATCAGCTGCCATAAATTCACTAATTATTTGTAATTTTTCATTATATTTATCAGATTCATCAAATCCACCCGGTTTATTAAATCTATCAAGCTCGTCAGATTCATCAAATTCATTAGATTCATCAAGTTCGTCAGATTCATCATATTCATTAGATTCATCAGGTCAATGCAGAAAACTATGCCATTCCGAAAGCTTATCATGAATTGTTTCAGCAGTAGGTTGTTTTCGCGAGTCTGAATCCATACATAATGTTGCCAATTCAATATAGCAACTAGGTGTTCTTAAAGCAAAGACTGGTCTCTTTCCACTGCAAATTTCTAATGCAAGTTCAATATCAAATGGACGTCCATAAAATGGATGTATTCCTGTAGTTATCTCCGCCATAATAACGCCAAAACTATATATATCGGCCGCTGGTGTATATTCCTGGCCTAATAAAACTTCAGGTGCAATATAAGGCATAACTCCACAAATACCATTTATTGAAAGGCATTCTTCATTCTTTCGTGATAGTCCTAAATCTGTAATATAGGATTTTTAACAAACCAAGCCATGATTCCTCTTTATGTTGCAAAATGTTGCCACTGTGAAGGTCACAGTGAATGTATCCTGCTTTGTGAATTTTAATTAAATCCTTTGAAATATCAATTAATAATAATAATTTATCTTCCCAGGTAAGTTCTTTAAAGTTCAATTTTAGATAATTATGGAGATCTCCTTTATTTGCATATTGAAATACCATCATATATTCTTCTGTTTCTGTACTTTGGGTTAATCCATATACTACAAGCCTACTACCACTTAATCTACAATGCACATGATTTCTAAACTAATAAAAAATAAAATTTGCGTAAATTAGAGATTTTCTACGCCATAAACAAATAATTCAATTATAATTTATCTTACTTCTTTTAGAAAATCATTAGAATTTTTTTTGATCCGGGTAAAGTTTTGAGTGCTACTTTCATAGATTGTGGTAGCCATTTGGCTAAAAATACCGTACCAAATCCTCCTTTACCAATCACTCCTATGACATTTAAATTTTTGGACCCAATATTATAAGTTTAAAAGCCCGAAGTCTAGTTTTTATGTCTGCATAAATTTTATATACATTTGCATACTATACACACATGTTTGCTAACTTAACATAACATACGCTACATCTTTGCTCAATCATACAATACTACTATTCGTATTACTCGTCATCAACTTCTGCCGTTAATCTATTTTTAAAACACAAACATTTAAAGATTGGTCTACCTTCAAGTTAAAAATATCCCGATAAATTATTATATCAATGTAGGGTAAAAATCGAACTACATATAAATAAGGACTTATACTTTAGTTTGATCAAAAAATCTCAAAATCTTCGGTAAAAGTCGGAAGGTGGTTTTGCTGGACCATTACCCTACACGACTGATCCTTCACCCGGTGTGCAAGATAAAAAAAAAAACTATTTTACAATACCAGATCATTCCGACAGTACATGTTATGATTA